ACTGTGGAACACTGTGACACTCCCACCACACACTGTGGAACACTGTGACACCCGCCACACACAGTGGACCACTGTGACACCCGCCACACACTGTGGAACACTGTGACACTCCCACCCACACACTGTGGAACACTGTGACACTCCCACCACACACTGTGGAACGCTGTGACACCCGCCACACACTGTGGAACACTGTGACACCCGCCACACACTGTGGAACACTGTGACACTCCCACCACACACTGTGGAACACTGTGACACCCGCCACACACTGTGGAACACTGTGACACTCCCACCACACCCTGAGAAATACTGTGACGCTCCTACCACACCCTGTGGAACACTGTGACACCCACCACACACTGTGGAACGCTGTGACACCCGCCACACACTGGAACACTGTGACGCTCCCGCCACACACTGTGGAACACTGTGACACTCCCACCACACACTGTGGAACACTGTGACACCCGCTACACACTGTGGAACACTGTGACACCCGCCACACACTGTGAAACACTGTGACACTCCCACCACACACTGTTGAACACTGTGACACTCCCACCACACACTGTGGAACACTGTGACACCCACCACACACTGTGGAACACTGTGACACCCGCCACACACTGTGGAACACTGTGACACTCCCGCCACACACTGTGGAACACTGTGACACCCGCCACACACTGTGGAACACTGTGACACTCCCACCACACACTGTGGAACACTGTGACACTCCCACCACACACTGTGGAACACTGTGACGCTCCTACCACACACTGTGGAACACTGTGACACCCGCCACACACTGTGGAACACTGTGACACTCCCACCACACACTGTGGAACACTGTGACGCTCCTACCACACACTGTGGAACACTGTGACACCCGCCACACACTGTGGAACACTGTGACACTCCCACCACACACTGTGGAACACTGTGACGCTCCTACCACACTGTGGAACACTGTGACACTCCCACCACACACTGGAACACTGTGACACTCCCACCACACACTGTGGAACACTGTGACACTCCCACCACACACTGTGGAACACTGTGACACCCGCCACACTATGTAGAACAACATAACACTCCCACCACACCTTGTAGAATATTGTAACACTCCCACCACACCTGAAGAACAAAGTAACACCCCCAATGCTTTGAAGAACAAGCAAACACTTCCACCATACCTTGAAGAACAGGGTAACGCTCCCATCGCAGTTTGTAGAACAAGTTAACACTCCCACCACACCTTATGAACAAGGGAAGACTCAGTAGGAGCCATGATAATGATTTGAACTGGCTCAGTGTGTACTTCAAGCACACCCCTTAGACCATTTCTCAAAGACATGGTCAAAGACAATGCAACCTGCAGCCCGTCCTCCAAGCAAAGACCCAAATGTGATTCCATGCACCCGCCAAACCCGCTGTTTATAAATAAAAAAAGGGTTACACAACTGATGACGTCCGAACACTTCCGGAACATGTGCATCACTGACGAATTTTGTTCGAACCACAACGCTGTACATGCTTCACCCACGTACTACAAATACAAATAACCGCCAAGAGAACCTAATCACCTAACCTAGCCTAATCTATGCCTATATATGCACAATATGCTAATATATCATAATATTAATTTAAATTTGAGAAAATTCCTGTTTTGAATGATCAGCATGTAAAAATATATGAATGCGTCTGTGGGGTCGACCACTGGACTTCCGTAATAACAGAACACCAGAAAGTAGAGAGAGATACCAGAGAAACAGGAACGAGTATGTCAGTGTGAGAAGAGCAGATGAGAAAAGGTATGAAAATGATATAGCTAATAAAGCCAAGACCGAACCAAAGCTACTACACAGCTACTACATCAGGAGGAAGACAACAGTGAAGGAACAGGTGATGAAACTTAGGGTGGGCAAGGACAGGTACACAGAGAATGATAAAGAGGTGTGTGAAGAACTCAACAAAAGGTTCTAGGAGGTCTTTACAATAGAACAGGGAGATGTCACGTGCTAGAAGAGGTGGCAGCAAACCAGGTGACCTTGGATAGGTTCAAAATTACAAGAGATGAGGTCAAGAAGCATCTATTGGAGCTGGATGTGAGAAAAGCTGTTGGGCCGGATGCAATCTCGCCATGGGTATTGAAAGAGTGTGCAGGAGCACTTTGCTTACCACTCTCCATAGTGTATAGTAGGTCACTGGAAACGGGGGACCTCCCAGAAATATGGAAGACTGCTAATGTAGTAGCATTATACAAAAAGGGTGACAGACAAGAGGCACTGAACTACAGGCCAGTGTCCTTAACTTGTATATCATGCAAGGTGATGGAGAAGATTGTGAGAAAAACCTAGTAACACATCTGGAGAGAAGAGACTTCGTGACAACCCATCAACATGGGTTCAGGTAGGGTAAATCTTGCCTTACAGGCTTGATAGAATTCTATGATCAGGTGACAAAGATTAAACAAGAAAGAGAAGGGTGGGCGGACTGCATTTTTTTGGACTGTCGGAAACCCTTTGACACAGTACCCCACAAAAGGTTGATGCATAAGCTGGAGAAACAGGCAGGAGTAACTGGTAGGGCGCTCTAGTGGATAAGGGAGTACCTAAACAATAGGAAGCAGAGAGTTACAGTGAGGTGTGAGACCTCAGACTGGCGTGAAGTCACCAGTGGAGTCCCACAGGGCTCTGTACTTGGACCTATCCTGTTTCTGATATACGTAAATGATCTCCCAGAGGGTATAGACTAATTCCTCTCAATGTTTGCTGACGACGCCAAAATTATGAGAAGGATTAAGACAGAGGAGGACAGCTTGAGGCTTGAAGAAGACCTGGAAAGCTGCAGGAATGGTCGAACAAATGGCTGTTAGAGTTTAACCCAAGCAAATGTAATGTAATGAAGATAGGGGTAGGAAGCAGGAGACCAGATACAAGGTACCATTTGGGAGATGAAATACTTCCAGAGTCAGAAAGAGAGAAAGACCTGGGGGTTGATATCACGCCAGACCTGTCCCCTGAAGCTCATATCAAGAGGATAACAGTAGCAGCATATGCCAGGTTGGCTAACATAAGAACGGCCTTTAGAAACTTGTGTAAGGAATCTTTCAGAACATTATATACCACATATGTCAGATCAATCCTGGAGTATGCGGCTCCAGCATGGAGTCCATATCTAGTCAAGCATAAGACTAAATTGGAAAAGGTTCAAAGGTTTGCCACCAGACTAGTACCCGAACTGAGAGGTATGAGCTACGAGGAGAGACTACGGGAATTAAACCTCACTTCGTTGGAAGACAGAAGAGTTAGGGGGGACATGATCACCACATTCAAGATTCTCAAGGGAATCGACAGGGTTGATAAAGACAGGCTGTTTAACACAAGGGGCACACGCACTACGGGACACAGGTGGAAACTGAGTGCCCAAATGAGCCACAGAGATATTAGAAAGAACTTTTTTAGTGTCAGAGTGGTTGACAAATGGAATGCATTAGGAAGTGATGTGGTGGAGGCTGACTCCATACACAGTTTGAAGTGTAGATATGATGGAGCCCAATAGGCTCAGGAACCTGTACACCTGTTGATTGACAGTTGAGAGGCGGGACCAAAGAGCCAGAGCTCAACCCCCGCAAGTACAACTAGGTGAGTATAACTAGGTGAGTACTGGATGTAATGAACTTGAGTCAAGGACGAGTTAATAAATACTTCACCCACGTACTTCACATGGTAAAGGAGAGGGAAAGTTTGGTTATAGATGGGGTAAGGTAGTGAAGATGGTTCAGTAATGAAGCAAGTATGTAGTGAAGCTGATTTTAGTACTCCCCTAGTTGTACGCATCTAGTTATGCGTGTGGGGGGGTGGAACTTCGGCTCTTTGGTACTGCTTCTCAACTGTCAATCAACTGGCGTACAGATTCCTGAGCTTATTGGGTTCTATCAAATGTATATTTCAAACTATGAATGTAGTCTGCCTCCATAATATACCTAATGCATTCCATTTATTAACTACTCTGACATTGGAAAAAAATATTTCTAATGTCTCTGTGGCTCATTTGAGTACTCATAAATACAGAACTGTGGGACTCCGCTGGTAATATCTCGCCACTCTGATGCCCCCTCCCCCTCTGCCACTCTGATGTCTCACAGTTACTCGCTGTTTCCTGTTGCTTAGATACTCCCTTATCCACTGGAGCACCTTACCTTTCACACCTGCCTGTTGCTCCAAGTTTTGTAACAGGCTTTACAGTGTCACAGGCTATCTGACAGTGTAAAAAATGGTCTGCCCACCATTCTCTTCCTCACGTAATTGTTATCACCTGGTATTGTTATGAATTCAGGGATGGCAAATCTTGCTTCACAGCTTTAATAGAATGAAGCCGTCCTGAAACCATTCTATTAAACCTTTGAGGCAAGATTTGCCATCCCTGAAACCATGCTGGTGGTGTGTCATGAAGTCCATTCTCTCCAGATGTTCTACAAGCTTTTTCCTCACGATCTTCTCCATCACCTTGCATGGTATACAAGTTAGGGAAACTGGCCTGTAGTTCAGTGCCTCTTGCCTGTCACCCTTTTTGTATATTGGGACTGCATCAGCTGTCTTCCAGCTGAGGATGATGGTGTGTAGTGTACATGGTAACAGTGATGATAGTTGTGTGTAGTTAAGAGGATTACAGTGAGGAAGATAGTGTAGTGATGACTGTTACAGTGATGAGGATACTCGTGTGTGGTGTAGACAATTACAGTGATTATTGTTTATATATATGGTTACAATGATGACAGTGTGTAGTGAAGACAGTTATAGTGAAGATAGTGTGTGGTGTAGATGAATACAGTGATGAAGATAGTGTATAGTGAGGCCCCCGGCCTGCACAACTCGGGTATCAATCTTGTTTGTACATAAAACACACATTGTGTTTTTAATCTTACGGATGATACCGACTTATGACAACCTACTTGCTAAATGTAACAACTCAACTTGTTTCCTTCTCAGATTTTGACCAAAGGTCAGCGCGAGGCCGTGTCAGACTTCCTGATAGCGCTGACGAGAGAGATGCAGCCGGCGGCCCTCCTGCCGCTGCTGCGTAAGCTGACCATCGACGTGTCCAAGCTCTCCGAGTACACCACCGTCGCCCTCAGGGTACACTATCACTCTACCCGCACCCTCTACCTTGGCCTTATATTATATTGTGTCTTATGTTATAAGTTTGGCCATAAGTGTTACAGCAGCAGTGACGGCACATCATAAATATTGAGCAAAGTCTTGGTCTTCAGGATTTTGCTAAACCAAGTCAAGGACTTGCCTGGAACATCTTATGGCAGAATTTAAGGCGTGCGGATTATTATATTTGGAGAAAATAAACAATAATAATAATTATCAGATATAGTTAATTTCTTATTTTTGTGTGACTCTTATTTTTTTAAATTTAAATATATTTAAAACACTTGTTGTCTGTTTTTGTATCTAACAATGCTGTGTAACAGCAGCTAAAGTAGAAGGCGCCAGTGCACATCGAACCTGCTCTGAAAGACTAGTGCAGTAGTCACAACAGTCACCTCTCAATTGCATGGTCCTGGGTTCGAGTCCCCGGCAGGAGGTAACGTTTAAGCAAGGTAACAGGCAATAGGTAACTTGACCTGTTTCCTCTATTCATTTAAGTGTAAGTAGGTACAATGGTAGTAGGAAAGTGTTGTGAGGGAAGGGGGAGGGGGAAGAAGCCGAGTGGGAGGAATATCAAATAAGATTAACAGGCTTCCAATCTCCATCAGTAGGAAACCAATTCTTCTGTGTAGGCTCATATTAACTGGCAAGAGTGTTATGGTTAATTTTGGTGGCATTTTGTCCTTACAGTTGCTGACGCTGCACTACGAGAGGTGCGGCAAGTACTACGGCACCTCCTCCAACACCCCCGGCACCGCCTCCGAGGAGGAGAAGAGACTCACTATGATGCTCTTCACAAACATCTTTGATTCTCTCGCCAAGATGGAGTACGACCCGGAACTGTTTAGCAAGGTGAGTATGGCCCACTACCCCGCCATCACCCACATCCTTAACGGTCCACTTCCCCACTATCACCCATATTCTTAATGGTCCACTACCCCGCCATCACCCACATCCTTAACGGTCCACTTCCCCACTATCACCCATATTCTTAATGGTCCACTCTCCCGCCATCACCCACATTCTTAATGGTCCACTCCCCACCATCACCAATATTCTTAATGGTCCTCTGCACCACCACCACAACCCATATTCTTAATGGTCCACTGCACCACCACCACCACCCATATTCTTAATGGTCCACTGCACCACCACCACCACCCATATTCTTAATGGTCCACTCCACCACCACCACCACCCATATTCTTAATGGTCCACTCCACCACCACCACCACCCATATTCTTAATGGTCCACTCCACCACCACCACCACCCATATTCTTAATGGTCCACTGCACCACCACCACCACCCATATTCTTAATGGTCCACTCCACCGCCACCACCACCCATATTCTTAATGGCCCACTGCACCACCATCACCCATATTCTTAATGGCCCACTGCACCACCATCACCCATATTCTTAATGGCCCACTGCACCACCATCACCCATATTCTTAATGGCCCACTGCACCACCATCACCCATATTCTTAATGGCCCACTGCACCACCATCACCCATATTCTTAATGGCCCACTGCACCACCATCACCCATATTCTTAATGGTCCACTCCACCACCACCACCACCCATATTCTTAATGGCCCACTGCACCACCACTACCACCCATATTCTTAATGGTCCACTCCACCACCACCACCACCCATATTCTTAATGGCCCACTGCACCACCACTACCACCCATATTCTTAATGGTCCACTGCACAGCCATCACCCATATTCTTAATGGTCCACTGCACCGCCATCACCCATATTCTTAATAGTCCACTCCCCACCATCACCCATATTCTTAATGGTCTACTCCCCGCCACCACCTATATTCTTAAAGGGTTATCTTAAGTGACCAAGTATTTACACATCTGTAAGTGACCAAATATTTACACTAATACAATTAACAATTGTGCAGGCACTTCCGTGCTTGTCGGCCATCGGGTGCTCGCTGCCGCCCGACTACTCCTTGACCCATGGCCACGAGGACGAGCTCTACAACACCTCCTCCTGCGCCGAGGGACCCTACACGCCCACGCCCATCGACACCACAGAGTAAGACATTTTCTACACCAATGTTGAAGCAAATTGCATGTGTTGTTTACGTGGGATACACAATGTTGTCACTGGATACATGTTTGGAGCAGGACTGGGCATCAAACCAGTGTCCTGCTACAAAAATGTTATTTATACGGAATGTTCCTGGCCAGAAATTTGAGGAGAGAGCTGGCAGTGACAGTGAGGTTAAAAATGTGTTAACATTTGTACTGTGTGTCTGCCATTATGCCTATATAGTACTGGGACGGGATATGAGGACAGGGAGTAGGGTCCAAGAGCTAACAGATCGATCATGCAAGTACATATAGTAAATATACTCCTCAGAGATGGTCTGAGAAATAGCCACAAGACTAACCATGACAAATGTAATGTTACGAAGATAGGAATTGGAGCAAGAAGAGTACAGGATGAAGGGAAGTCAACTTTCAACTTCTGAAAAACAGAGAACTTAGCTGTAGATATAATACAAGAACTAAACCAAGAGGCACAGACAACCATTCTGCGGGCTGTATATGCCATCCTGCGGGCTGCGACACTGGCAAGAATCTGGTTATCCTGCAGGACCCTGCATAAAGATACCTTCCAAGGGCTGTATACATGCTTTGTGAGGCCCATCATTGCGTATCTTGCCCGTGCACGGAACCTCTAGAAGAAGCAAAACAAAACTTGAAGGGTCCAAAACTATGTAACAAGGGTCTTTTCTGAGCTAAGGGCAAACTAAGATATGAAGAAAAACTGAGGAAAGTGGACCTCAGTTCCCTCTGGAGGAAAGTTCCATTTGCACTGGAGCAAAGAAGGAATAGTGTAGACATAATAACGATGTTTAAGATATCAACATGACTGATAAAGTAGCTATGGATTCAGTGTTCAAATTAAGGAACACTTGGATAAGAGGACTATAAATCAACACTCGAAACACAGATGAGGCATAGAGATGCCAGTCACGTCAAAAAGTAGCACAAACTAAATGGGAAATTTATCAGATCAAAGTAACACAGACTAGATGGAGAAATTATCAGAGCCAATTCCATATACAGTTTTAAATGTACTTATGACAAGAAAAACGCGTGAAATGAGTTTCTGCCGTGGACTAATGATGGGCGAGAGGCGGGGCTTGTGAGCAGATGTTAGCCCCTGTCAGCTCAACAAGGCAGATGAGTACACACACACACGGACGTGCACATACACCTCACATATACATACAAGAAAAGTATGTGCAAAAGAGAATCTTTGGTATAATATATTGCCAAGAATTTAAAAAATTGAATTTCTTTTTCCTTTTGCATGTGGAGTAGCAGTGAGTAGCTGACTTGTTATAAGACTGAAAGACTTGGTGTGAACACTTTTGGGTTCAGACAGTCAAGAAATGTTTATAAATATTATTGCAAATATTCATTCTCTAGAAAGTTTTAGGTGTAATTATATATAAATAAATAACGAATATCTCAATAGGCCGTAAGTTGTGATTGATGAACGCCATAACTAATGTATGAGACTTGACTAATGGGAAGGTGTGTTATGGGTGAACAGTGTGCAGCCAGACCAGGACATCCAGGACCTTATAAAGAAGTTCAGTGAACATTACCACGACGCGTGGGCCTCCCGCAAGCTGGAGAGTGGCTGGGTGTATGGCGACACTTACTCCATCGAGGAGAAGCTCCACCCAAGACTTAAGCCCTTCAGCATGCTCTCTGACTACGTGAGTACCTCTCATCACCCTCTACACCTCTCACTCTCATTCCTTCACCCTACACACTCTACACCTCTCTCTCATTCCTTCACTACACCTCTCACTCTCTCCTCCCTTCACCCTAACACCTACAACATGCTCCCACTCATACCATCAATCATCGTATAATATGTTTTTGTGCGAGTATTATGTGACACATAATATACACCATAGTATTATACAACACATACTCGGCGAGCACCCGGGTTCCCTTCAACACCCTCCAACTTGACCAAATGCTATAATTATGAACACATAACCTACCTCTCTGATGCTATACTTCGCTCATTGTTCAGTACTGAGAGTCACTAAAACATATCGTGTTAATGATGACGTTGACATTCCTACAGGAGCGGGAGCGGTACCGGGAACCCGTGCGGGACGCCATTAAGGCCCTGCTGGCCATCAACTGGAACATTGAGTTCGAGAGTACTGAGGGTGTGAGCACCAGCGGCCGCGAGCAGCTTCACCGTCAGGACACTGTAAGTATCTGCTCACTATCACCGTCATGACACTGATAAAGGTCACTTAGCAATTTTATTGGTCTTGGTGCGTTTCACTTGGGTTCACTTAGCATCCTCAGAGGCAGAGAAAACTGTAGGTCAAATGTCCTGACACACCTACCTGTATTGTGAAGCTCCGTCAGAAGTACTCTTGCCCCAGTACTGTACTCTTGTTCCAGTACTGCATTCTTGCATACACTCAGTCTTCGAGCTGAGGGGTATGAGCTACGAGGAAGGTCTACTGGAACTAAACCTCACGACACTGGAAGACTGAAGAGTAAGGGGAGACATGATCACCACCTATATAAATTTTCAGAGGAATTTAAAGGGCAGATAAAGAAACTATTTAACACGGGTGGTTCACGGACATAGGGACACAGGTGGAAACTGAGTACCCAAATGAGCCAGCGAGACATTTGACAGAACTTTGTCAGTGTCAGAGTAGTTAACAAATGGAATGGTTTATGCGGTGATGTAGTGGAGGCTGACTCCATACACAGTTTCAGATGTAGATATAACAGAATCCAATATGCTGAGGAACCTGTACACCGGTGTATTAACAGTTAGGAGCCAGGACCCAAAGGCCGAAGCTCAACTCTCGCAGGTACAACTAGGTGAATACACTGCTTATAAGACTAATATAAACCTTTCTTCAGGTGTTGGAATAGTCTTTTGAGTGTTTTTCTTGGCTGTTAATTTCCCCGCGTCACATATATACTGCTCTGCTGGTAAACCTATTACCAGTGTTAAAGTTATAAATTAACGTATTATCCTTGATAAACACTCAAACTAAGGCGCACTAAATGGTTAAGAAGGTATAATAATCCTTCCTCCAGTACTCAATCAGTACATAATACAAGCGTTTTATTTTTCAGTCTGATCTCTACAACTACAACCCTCAGCCTGTGGACATGACCAACCTGACACTGTCAAGGGAGATGCAGAACATGGCTGAGCGTCTGGCCGAGAACGCTCACGATATTTGGGCCAAACGCAAGAAGGAGGAGCTGGACGCTTGCGGTCAGTAATGGATCAGTTTTGTGTTGTTAGGTGTCTGCGCTGGCAACATTCTCCATGGGGTGTCTGCGCTGGCAACATTCTTCATGGGGTGTCTGCGCTGGCAACATTCTTCATGGGGTGTCTGCGCTGGCAACATTCTTCATGGGGTGTCTGCGCTGGCAACATTCTTCATGGGGTGTCTGCGCTGGCAACATTCTTCATGGGGTGTCTGCGCTGGCAACATTCTCCATGGGTTGACTTGTTGGTGACCTACTCTAGTACCCTCCGGGTGTTTCAACACACCAGAATGTTAGGGATGGTCACAGTACTCATGCCCCAGTACTGTACTCTTGCCCCAGTACTACACTCTTGCCCCAGTACTACACTCTTGCCCCAGTACTACACTCTTGCCCCAGTACTACACTCTTGCCCCAGTACTACACTCTTACACGCAGTTGACTACACAGTCAACCGTTGGCAATATTTGTATTAGCCTTCGCTCTAGTGGCTTCTCGAATCATTGTGTAAAGCATCTAAGTTCCAGCAGTCCTAACTAAGTTCAGGTGAAAGGCAAGATCATTTTGTTTCAAGAAGTATTCACTAATTATGTTTCCCATAATTAGTGAATACTTCTTTATACTGCTTTTTTCGTGTGAAAATGATGGACAATATATTATTATATAATACAATTCTAATTTCTGTTGAATATCGGTTATGAAGGAACCTTGAATGTTCGTATTTCACCATTGACCCATATGAGCAGCGGTAGGACAGGCGTGGGCAGGTGGAAGACAAGTGTGGTATGCCAAGTGATGCTCAAGATGACAGTGATGGCGAGACGGATAATGTCACTACAGCGTCTTGACATTATTACCTTGCGTGACATTGTATGAGAAATCTGTACGTCCTGAAAGAAAGTGACTGGGAATGGTGGCTGCAATCATGGTCGTTTGAGATGTTGAGACCTAAGAAAATATATGTTCTCTCGAGTGTTTTTGACGATCAATGAGATTCTTGTTGCTTTTAGACGCAGATATTAATTTACAGTAAATACACAAAATCTGGCAAAGTATGGAATAAAAATACACACAATAGCTGATGACAGACCTTATTTTGCTAGCATGATGGAGATTTATTGAGCAAAACAGCCAGAGGGCCCACAAATAATACACAATTCTGCCTCTGCTGTACACACAACGCTTATTTGAGATGTGTCAGCATCTACCAGATATGTCATACACGGCATCACAGACCCCCACATTCTGCACTTGAATGAAAATAGACGTTGCCATGGTCAGTCACATGGCGGGAGGACACTACACGTCAAGAAATTCCCAACGTTTGTCACAGGCAGTTCTCTACGAACTTCTGAATGTTTCAGCAATTAATTTATATATTTCTTATGGTTACAACTATTAGAGCAAGTGAAAGACCCGCTTATTTAAAGAATTTATGGGGGAAACCAGTATAAGAACTATTAAAGAAGAGAGCGCCGACCAAGAAAGTAGAGTGGAATATACGGGACCTCGGGTGACATGTGAGATATCTGTCAGATATCTTAATTTAATTAAATAAGATTTGTGTGTACAACAGAGGCAGAATTGTGTCATTTTAGAGGCCTGGGTAAATACCAGTATGGAAACAAATATTTTGATTTATGGAATAGATTACCGGGTGACATAATAGATGTGGGATCCCTTGATTGTTTCAAGCGCAGGTTAGACATATGTATGAGTATTTTTTGTAACAAAAATAATTATTATAACATTTGATTGATCTGTGAATCAGTCGCACATTCTCTCCTTTCCAGTACAAACCACATAATCTACTAGGCGCTACCTGTTCTCCCTACCACACTCTGACCACTTGTTCTCTCTACCACACACTGACCACCTGTTCTCTCTACCACACTCTGACCACTTGTTCTCTCTACCACACACTGACCACCTGTTCTCTCTACAACACTCTGACCACTTGTTCTCTCTACCACACACTGACCACTTGTTCTCTCCACCACACACTGACCACCTGTTCTCTCTACCACACACTGACCACCTGTTCTCTCCACCACACACTGACCACCTGTTCTCTCCACCACACACTGACCACTTGTTCTCTCTACCACACTCTGACCACTTGTTCTCTCTACCACACACTGACCACTTGTTCTCTCTACCTCACACTGACCACCTGTTCTCTCTACAACACTCTGACCACTTGTTCTCTCTACCACACACTGACCACTTGTTCTCTCTACCACACACTGACCACTTGTTCTCTCTACCACACACTGACCACATGTTCTCTCTACAACACTCTGACCACTTGTTCTCTCTACCACACACTGACCACTTGTTCTCTCTACCACACACTGACCACCTGTTCTCTCTACAACACTCTGACCACTTGTTCTCTCTACCACACACTGACCACTTGTTCTCTCCACCACACACTGACCACTTGTTCTCTCTACCACACACTGACCACTTGTTCTCTCTACCACACACTGACCACTTGTTCTCTCTACCACACACTGACTACTTGCACTCTCAACCACCCAGCACCTGCTCTACCCCACCACAGAAGACTCACTCTCACCACCACACACCCCAGCTTGTTGACTACTGACCATTAACCAGGAGTCTCCTCCTCCTCCCGCAGGTGGGGGCATCCACCCTCAGATGGTGCCCTACGACATGCTGACGGAGAAGGAGAAGCGCAAGGATCGCTTCCGCTCCGTGGAGCTCCTCAAGTACCTGCAGTTCATGGGATACCGTCTTACAAGGTGGGCACCCCAGTCCCGCTCCCAGGCACCCCTCACCCCAGTCTCACTCCCAGGCACCCCTCACCCCAGTCCCACTCCCAGGCACCCCTCACCCCAGTCCCACTCCCAGGCACCCCTCACCCCAGTCCCACTCCCAGGCACCCCTCAACCCAGTCCCACTCCCAGGCACCCCTCACCCCAGTCCCACTCCCAGGCACCCCCCACCCCAGTCCCACTCCCAGGCACCCCTCATCCCAGTCCCGCTCCCAAGCACCCCTCACCCCAGTCTTACTCCCAGGCACCCCTCACCCCAGTCCCACTCCCAGGCACCCCTCACCCCAGTCCCACTCCCAGGCACCCCTCACCCCAGACCCACTCCCAGGCACCCCAGTCCCACTCCCAGGCACCCCAGTTCCACTCCCAGGCACCCCAGTCCCACTCCCAGGCACCCCAGTCCCACTCCCAGGCACCCATCACACCAGTCCCGCTCCCAGGCACCCCTCACCCCAGTCCCACTCCCAGGCACCCCTCACCCCAGTCCCACTCCCAGGCATCCATCACACCAGTCCCGCTCCCAGGCACCCCTCACCCCAGTCCCACTCCCAGGCACCCCTCCCCCAGTCCCACTCCCAGGCACCCCTCACCCCAGTCCCACTCCCAGGCACCCCTCACCCCAGTCCCACTCCCAGGCACCCCTCACCCCAGTCCCACTCCCAGGCACCCCTCACCCCAGTCCCGCTCCCAGGCACCCCTCACCCCAGTCCCACTCCCAGGCACCCCAGTCCCACTCCCAGGCACCCCTCACCCCAGTCCCACTCCCAGGCACCCCTCACTCCAGTCCTACTCCCAGGCACCCCTCACCCCAGTCCCACTCCCAGGCACCCCTCACCCCAGTCCCACTCCCAGGCCCCCCTCACCCCAGTCCCACTCCCAGGCACCCCTCACCCCAGTCCCACTCCCAGGCACCCCTCCAGTCCTACTGCCAGGCACCCCTCACCCCAGTCCCACTCCCAGGCACCACAGTCCCACTCCCAGGCACCCCTCACCCCAGTCCCACTCCCAGGCACCCCTCACCCCAGTTCCACTCCCAGGCACCCCTCACCCCAGTCCCACTCCCAGGCATCCCTCACCCCAGTTCCACTCCCAGGCACCCCAGTCCCACTCCCAGGCACCCCTCACCCCAGTCTCACTCCCAGGCACCCCTCACCCCAGTCCCACTCCCAGGCACCCCTCACCCCAGTCCCACGCCCAGGCACCCCTCACCCCAGTCCCACTCCCAGGCACCCCTCACCCCAGTCTCACTCCCAGGCACCCCAGTCCCACTCCCAGGCACCCCTCACCCCAATCCCACTCCCAGGCACCCCAGTCCCACTCCCAGGCACCCCAGTCCCACTCCCAGGCACCCCTCACCCCAGTCCCACTCCCAGGCACCCCTCACCCCAGTCCCACTCCCAGGCACCCCTCACCCCAGTCCCACTCCCAGGCACCCCTCACCCCAGTCCCACTCCCAGGCACCCCACACCCCAGTCCCACTCCCAGGCACCCCTCACCCCAGTCCCACTCCCAGGCACCCCAATCCCACTCCCAGGCACCCCTCACCCCAGTCCCACTCCCAGGCACCCCTCACCCCAGTTCCACTCCCAGGCACCCCTCACCCCAATCCCACTCCCAGGCACCCCTCACCCCAGTCCCACTCCCAGGCACCCCTCACCCCAGTCCCACTCCCAGGCACCCCTCACCCCAGTCCCACTCCCAGGCACCCCTCACCCCAGTCCCACTCCCAGGCACCCCTCACCCCAATCCCACTCCCAGGCACCCCAGTCCCACTCCCAGGCACCCCTCACCCCAGTCCCACTCCCAGGCACCCCTCACCCCAGTCCCACTCCCAGGCACCCCTCACCCCAGTCTCACTCCCAGGCACCCCTCAATCCAGTCCCACTCCCAGGCACCCCTCACCCCAGTCCCACTCCCAGGCACCCCTCACCCCAGTCCCACTCCCAGGCACCCCAGTCCCACTCCCAGGCACCCCTCACCCCAGTCCCACTCCCAGGCACCCCTCACCCCAGTCCCACTCCCAGGCACCCCTCACCCCAGTCCTGTTCCCAGGCACCCCTCACCCCAGTCTCACTCCCAGGCTCCCCTCACCCCAGTCCCACTCCCAGGCACCCCTCACCCCAGTCCCACTCCCAGGCACCCCAGTCCCACTCCCAGGCACCCCTCACCCCAGTCCCACTCCCAGGCACCCCTCACCCCAGTCTCATTCCCAGGCTCCCCTCACCCCAGTCCCACGCCCAGGCACCCCTCACCCCAGTCCCACTCCCAGGCACCCCTCACCCCAGTCCCACTCCCAGGCACCCCTCACCCCAGTCTCATTCCCAGGCTCCCCTCACCCCAGTCCCACGCCCAGGCACCCCTCACCCCAGTCCCACTCCCAGGCACCCCAGTCCCACTCCCAGGCACCCCTCACCCCAGTCTCACTCCCAGGCACCCCTCACCCCAGTCCCACTCCCAGGCACCCCTCACCCCAGTCCCACTCCCAGGCACCCCTCACCCCAGTCCCACTCCCAGGCACCCCTCACCCCAGTCCCACTCCCAGGCACCCCTCACCCTGAGTCCTTTCTAAGTGTGAAAAGAAATTTCATTTCCTAGAAATTCATTATTTCTAAGTGTGAAAAGTTCACACTAACAAATAAGGGGAAATAACTATTTTATATCTTAATGTTCGGTCTTTCAGAGAATCTCTCAGCATCTCTGAAATGCTGATCTGTTATTGTACAAATAAAATCAACATTCGAGGCTGTTATTAGCAGTTGTTGTACAGAAAATAATTCTGTATTCATTATAATGCATATGTATAATTAATATGAAAATATAATATGTAATGAATCATCATTCAAATAAGTAAATAGGATTGACAGACAACAGGAGATGTAAGAAGACATATACACGGACGTATACCCTGCTTCTCCCGCTATGTAAACTGAGAGCTTACTTTTGCCCTGGACTATGTTCAGGACTAAAATATTCTTACTGATTGATTGGTCAGTAACCACTTGTGGTTATCTTAATAACCCTTCAGTCCGTCTGAAGGATTATTACCCTTCAGGGTCCGTCTGAACCCTTCTTGGAACTCTATCACCACCTCTTCCCTTCTTCATTTGGCTTTCTCAAGTGTCGCAGCAGGACTGATGTCTTGGTGAACTTGGGGGTTTATATTCGTACTGCTTTTGCTGAGAAAACCTCCGTTGTTGCTGTCTTTTTTACCTGGAAAAGGTGTACGACATTTCCTGGAGATACCATATTTTGTCCCAATTCCGTTCTTTTGGCCTTCGTGGTAATCTCCCTTTCTTTCTCCAAGGTTTTCTCCCTAGTCGTTCCTTTAGAGTGAGGCTTAGTACCACTCTCTCTGCCTCTTTTCGGTAATATGAAGGTGTACACCAAGGTAGTGTGCTGAGCACTACTCTTTTTCCTTGTTGTCCTCAATTGTCTTCTTTCCTCCCTTCGCTCTGGCATTTTCTCAGCTCTCTATGTCGACGATCTTACCCTTTGCTGTCGAGGTGATGATTCACCCTTTCTTCAACAGTGGCTTCGCCTTACGATTGACGCCGTGTCACCAATCATGACTTTAAGTTCTCTTCAACTAAAACTTTTGCTATGACTTTTATTCAGAGGCAGGTAGTTCTTCGTCCCCCTTTGTTACTTTATGGTAATCACCTTGTGTACAAAGGTTCTGCTAAGCTTTTGGGGTTAATCTTTGACACGCGTTTGTGTTGGTTGCCCCATATCTCTTACCTCCGAGTTGAATGCTCTAAGGCCCTTAATTTATTTAAGGTCTTGTCCCATACTTTCTCTCTTAACATTACACTCTCGTGTTGTCAAAACTCGATTATGGATGCTCTGCTTACTCGTCTGCCTCTCCCTGTACTCTTCGCCGTCTTTATGCTCTGCACCATATTGGGTTTCGCCTCAGCTCTGGTGCCTTTCGTTCTACTCCTACCCTCAGCCTGTATGTTGACACCGGCGTCCTGTCTCTACGGGATCGCTATGATTGCTACTGTTTTCGCTACTTCACGTGGTGCCTACAACACCCTCACTCTCGCTTATGTCGTACCTTTACCCCTCCTGTAGTCCCTCTTCCCTCTCACCACCTATCTCTTTCTGTACGATTGTCTCGCTTGCAAGGTTCTCTCGGTTCATATTACGAATGTGTCTCCTCGTGTCGTTCCATCCTTGCCCCCATGAAGGGTCCCCCTTCCTACGTTTAGTAAAACCTTGACCCACATGACTAAAGGTATATACCCTCCTTCGGTTCTGAATGGCCTTTTCCATGCTCACTTTTCTTCACACTCCCGCTCCATTTCCATCTTCATCAATGGGGTCTAAGTCTGCCGATGGTGCAGGCTTCAATGTTGTATTTCCTGACTACACTTATGTGTCGCCTGCCTCCGGAGACTAGCATCTTGACGGTAGAACTTTATGCAATTTTGCATCCTCTTTGTCAACTGCTTTCTCGCTGTCACTCTTCCTTTGTGGATGTGGTTGATTCTCGTAGTGCCCTCATGGCTCTGGAGTTCTTTAATCCAGTCCATCTTGTGGTAGTCAAATTCAACATTGGCTGTTTCTTATCTCCAGCAAATTTAAGACTGGAGTTTTGATGGGTTCCCAGCCATACTGGTGTGTCCTTAAATGAGCATGTGGACGCTGCCGCTAAGAAGGCTATCTGCACTTGTGCCATCTCCCCTAAAGGTGTTCCTTATTCCGACTTTTACCCGGTTAATCATTCCTCAATCCTTGCCCGTTAGCATAATCACTGGTCTTCTGCTACTGGTAACAAGCTGTGTGCTCTTTAGGGGTAGGGTGTCGCTATGGCCTTCTTCCTACCACTGTAACCAGCGGTGGGAAACTGCTCTGGCGAGGTTACTATTGGCCATACAAGTTTAACTCAAGGATACTTAATGGAGCACCGCCCTGCTCCTTATTGTCCAAACTGAATTGTTCCTCTTATGGTCGTGTATATCCTTGTTGAAAGTCCTGACTTCCAGGACATGTGTGTGTCTTGCTTCCCAACTGTCCCTCGCAGTCACTTGTCCTTCGATAGAATCCTTGGTAAATCAGATACCTTTGATATCGTTCACCTTATGCGCTTTTGTTCTTGTATTGGCATTCTTAGTGATATTTAGCGCTTTTGAATAACCCACACATATGATGGCTACATAGTCTCCTTGGCTTGGCTCCTTGTGTTGGAAATTACTTATTACTTAACAACCCTCCAGAGGTTGACAGGCATCAAACCCAACGCCAAACCATTGAGGTGTAATGTTGAAAGACAACAATACAGAAGACTGTATTTTGACGATACAAGCATTGTTTATGTATAATGTTGAGCGGTAGTTCACACGCGGGAACACTCTATACCACAATAGTAGTTAGCTATGCCTGTGTGTAACAACTCTGCCTGTGATGGTTAGGGCTGTTGGTGATGGCGACGACGGCGGAGCGTCCACCGGGGCCGTCGACCGCAGGTTCGCCTACAGTCTGCTGGAGAAGCTGCTCCAGTACCTCGACTGTGCTGCCATCAACATGAAGTTGTTGAGACCCTCTTCCAACCTTAGCAGACGCAACTCCTTCAAGACCTCCACAAAGGACGTTAAGTTCTTCTCCAAAGTTGTCCTCCCTCTCATGGAGAAATACTTCAGGTGAGTCAAAGAACACTGTAATAGGAAAATAATGATGTTGTGGTTATGTTGGCTGCTGCTAGTATATCGCTAAACATTTATGTGTTCTAAATTACTGTTCCTAAGAACAGTAATATAGAACATTCCTGTATTTATTTGCTTTCAGTCCTGAACACCTCACCTTATTGTTTTTCACCTTTTGTTTTTCTCCCTACCTAAATATTACAACCTCTGACTTGTAATATCTATCCTTCTCAAGATGTATTGACTAATTTGAAAGTAATTAATTACCCGTCTCAGTTTCCTTCATGGTCAGACATTGTCATTTATGTCTGTTGTATATATGTTGTACCTAATAGCCAGAATGCACTTCTCGGCCTAGTATACAAGGCCAGATTTGCCTAATAAGCCAAGTTTTCCTGAATTTATATATTAACAAAAAAATTATTATGAAATGATAAAGCTATCCATTTCATTATGTGTGGATGAATTTTTTTTAATTTGAGTTAAAACTAACGTAGGTATATGACCAAACCTAACCAACCCTACCTTACTTAATCAATCTTAACCTAACTTAAACTAACATAACTAAGTCTATACTTTATGTTCCTAATATAATGAAATAAGAATATTTCAAATATATAAAATATATTTCAAATAATACCAACTGAAAACAATATTTTGAAAATAAAGAAAATCACTCGGCCTATTAGACAAATCGGGCATTGCATAGTAGGCCAAGAAGTGCATTCTGGCTACTAGGTACGGCATATATATATTTATATATTTATAGATAGATAATACCATTTATTTCCATGAATATCTACTCTTACTTCCTTTGCAGCACTAATCGCAACTACTTCCTGGCGGTGGCTCTGACGACGAACATGGTCGGTGCTGCATCGCTCAAGGAGAAGGAAATGGTTGCCTCACTCTTCTGCAAACTGGCAAACCTCATGAGGATCAAGAGCGTCTGCTTTGGCTCCGATACAAAGGTAAACCTTGAGGCTTCTTGCATTTATGAGGCACGAGACAGTCCCCGTGGCGGAGTGTAACATACTCGTCCTTGCGATTTGGCCTGGGTTCATATCCTGGCAGGCGAGGATTGACTAGGCGCCAATTCTTAATTGTATGCCTTTGCTGACTAAACAGTGAATGGGAACCTGGTTATTAAACGATTTGGTGGGTTGTATTCGGGGAATATTAGGATTAACGACTTGCCCGAAACGCTACGTGTGCCTGTGGCTTTACAAGAATAAGAAATTTTATATATAAAAATAAATAAAAATTCCTCAGTATGCATAACTTATGGTGTCACGCTGTTTATTTTTTCGGTGTCATTTTGTTTAGATATATGGGTAATATCTCTTAAATTGGAACGTAAAATGCCTACTTCGTTTATTTACGTAGCTTCACAGTCAAATTGGGAAGGGGGTAGCTTCCTTATGAGTGTTTTAGGAACCCATTTTTCCTACATATAGAGAAGGGGGGGGGGGTGAAAATATGCTCGACTAATTGCACACATTCTTAGAACCATCACCACAGTTGGGTGTGGCCAGAAATTGTTTTAATATGTCGAGTTTCTGCCTTAATATCCTTTAGAACCACAACTTTGATAATTTTCATGGAAAGTTTACGAAGGCCTCCTAAAATTATTGACTTGTAAATATGGTAAGGTTGTCATATTAGGTGTACTGTAAGGTGCTTTCTTTTCTCACCTTGTTAAAGTGAGATAACTTTCAGAGATGATTTGTTTGTGTATTTTATATGTTTGTTAGCCTGATGCCAGGGCCTCCAAACACGATTCAAGCAAAATTAATTTCAGAAGTGGAATACATGTTGAGAGGTGGGATCAAAGAGCCAAAGCTCAACCCCCGCAAGCACATCTAGGTGAGTACAATGGTGTATTGGAATATTCATGGTAAAAGTTTACATCGTAAATGCACTCATGTCTGTATTACGTTTACAGATTGGGTGGTAGAATACTCACATTATAACATACAATTACACTTACACGCAGGATGGTGGTGGGAAGGTTGTGGAGTACTCTTGTATGTTGTGGTGCAGGATGGTGGTGGGAAGGTTGTGGTGTACTCTTGTATGTTGTGGTGCAGGATGGTTGTGGGAAGGTTGTGGTGTACTCTTGTATGTTGTGGTGCAGGATGGTTGTGGGAAGGTTGTGGTGTACTCTTGTATGTTGTGGTGCAGGATGGTGGTGGGAAGGTTGTGGAGTACTCTTGTATGTTGTGGTGCAGGATGGTTGTGGGAAGGTTGTGGTGTACTCTTGTATGTTGTGGTGCAGGATGGTTGTGGGAAGGTTGTGGTGTACTCTTGTATGTTGTGGTGCAGGATGGTGGTGGGAAGGTTGTGGAGTACTCTTGTATGTTGTGGTGCAGGATGGTTGTGGGAAGGTTGTGGTGTACTCTTGTATGTTGTGGTGCAGGATGGTTGTGGGAAGGTTGTGGTGTACTCTTGTATGTTGTGGTGCAGGATGGTGGTGGGAAGGTTGTGGTGTACTCTTGTATGTTGTGGTGCAGGATGGTTGTGGGAAGGTTGTGGAGTACTCTTGTATGTTGTAGTTGTGGTGCAGGATGGTGGTGGGAAGGTTGTGGTGTACTCTTGTATATGTGTTCGGGCCAGCATGTAACAAATATATATACAGTATATACATGTTTAAGCATCTGTTGAGTATTTGCAAAATATCTTACAAACTTTGTGAAATTTGCAACCATCAAATAGACAATAAATTCATATATTTTGATAATACTTTCAATTATGGTTCATTAAGTTGTTTTTAATTAAAATTGTGGTAACTTTCTCTCTTTTTGTCATATTATAATTATAGTGTGAGGTTTGGTGGTTGGCGTAGGTGATGCAGGATATACATTGCTGAAGCCTCGTGGGGTGATGACGCTCTCATGAGCTTTACTTTCAGAACTCTTCTTGTTTTTGTATGATTCTTTAAGTGAAGTGTAGTGTAGTGTGTTGGGGTGTAGTTCCTGTCTTGCTCCCAGAGCCTTGTGCTAAGATTTTCTCTTTCCCTATTTTAATGGAGGTGTTAGAGCCACCTCAGATGTTGACGTGGATCTTTGATTCTAGATTTGTGTTGTTATAGGAGAGTTCAAGATGAATTGTTTGTGTAAGTTAAGAAAAGATAGACATTGATGATATTTATCATTAATGGCTTTGCAAGAATGTAAGAACACCAATGTTATGTACTCTCACAAACCCAATGTACTTCTTGTATATAGATAAATAAATAAATAAATAAAAATAAATAATTACTCATTGTCAAAGGCAAAATGTATTCTTCTAATTGGCCAAACCGCAGCTGCTAAGGCCCTGCGTTGGGAGACAAGTGAACGAGGTGTCAGTGCTTGAAATGTACACACAAGCTGTTTTGTGTCTACATTTTAGAAGAGTACGCTCATACCTCCCATGTTCAGACAGTGTGACTTAGCAGTTTAACCAGTGAGGGTTTGAGCACCCAATTTCGGAGCAGCTATTGAGACAACCAACTCAGAAACGTACATAAAATGTCAACACAATGCAGGCAAAATATTACAGCAGATATCACGAGGAAAGATTGCACTTAATGCAGTACCCTGTCCGCTTAATCATGTTGTTTTATATATGAATTACAGGAAAATGTCATGACTTTAAGAAATTTTAAATATTCATTGTAGTTAAGTCTAAACCTTATAAGGAATTAAAGAATACCAACACATATTCCGCGTTACAGGGAGTTGTGTTTGAGGTTGTTAATCGCTGGAGGTTATTAGTGGGAAACAGGAGGAGGAGGAGAAACTTAAGAGTGTGCAGACACTTCTTGAAGGATTTCTTCATCAATTATTTTGTCGTCAGCTTTTATTCTTGTATAAACGTTTGGTATACCTTCCTTGATCTCTCTGGTATGATCTAACTATACTATGACAACATGAATTATTGATAAAATAATTGTCCTTTACTTTGAATGATCATTTCATACTTTTGGAAGAGTTTTTTATTCATTATTATTATTATTATTATTATTTCCAAATGGTTAATTTTTCATTCTAGTTTTGATTGCTTCAGTATTGTCATACGAAGCGATTATTTCACAGCTTCTTCCAAACGACTATCTTTAAGGAAACTCATCAGCTGCTTTTTAGTAGTTAAACACTTCTTTCAGCTAATTCTTTATTATAATTGTAGAAGTAACTGTGACCCCGGTATAGACGGCCACATCCATTGTGCCCTCAAATACTGCAAAAAGTTGCTTGAAATCATAGTACTTAACACTATCAAAAACCTACCGTGCACCATGATGGGAAAACCCGGGTTTGAGAAATATACTATTTATACAAATAAAAAACGCATATACTAAACAATCTGTCATTATTTTCAGGTTACAGTAAAATGCCTGCAAGTGATTGTGAGAGCAGTTGATGCCAAGACTCTGGCCAAGAGTTTACCAGAGTTCGTCCGCACGTCCATGTTGACCTTCTTCAACAACTCCGCCATCGACCTGGAGCACTGTATCCACTGCCTGCAGGAGGTACACACAACACTACACTTGAGCACCCACCATGGTGCTCTTATCACGCACACAAAACACTTGACGTATGAGAGAGGGGACTGGAGAATAAGACGAGTTATGGAGATGGGAAAATAGATCAGGAGTAATTAAAATGATTCATGAGTAAAAATAGGGTTTAAAAAATTTAAAGAGGAGAAAGGGGATGAAAAGTGAGGGGGGGGAAGCGAGTAGCATGTTGTATCTTAGGCAAAAGCAAGAAGAGGAATGTCTTCGGTGTTGACGGTGGGCCTGGGATGTGACGGTGGGCCTGGGATGTGACGGTGGGCCTGGGATTCGACGGTGGGCCTGGGATATGCCGGTGGGCCTGGGATGTGATGATGGGCCTGGGGTTGGACGGTGGGCCTGGGACATGACGGTGGGCCTGGGATGTGATGATGGGCCTGGGGTTGGACGGTGGGCCTGGGACATGATGGTGGGACAGGATGTGGAGTAAGTTGTGGGCAGTGCACCAAGACACCAGGAATTGAAGTCCAGTAGACTAAGAAGACATGGATGACCTAGTAGACGATGAAATTATAGTTCCTATAATATTTTAATGGTACATGAGTTATATGCATTGTGGATAATTATTACAAATAAGACAACTCATTCATTATGATTATGTTATCATCTGTGTGATGATGAACATTTCTTTAACATTATAATTATGTAATCATAATACTGTGACTGCAATAACAAAGCTGTAATTGTTGTGTGTTGACAGGGTAAATATGCGTACATCCGGGGCACTCACCTCAAGACGTCTGCCTCCCTCAACTACATCCAGACGGTGTTGCTGCCCGTCCTCACCTCCCTCTTCGACCACACCGCTGCCTGCGAGTTTGGTCAAGACTTCCTCTGTGAGTCCTCACCCATTCTACTTCTTCACCCAATACCTTGACATTATTAATTCTCATTAACGTACGTGTATATATATGTCAAATGAATTATGTATACATATATATTACAAGTTTTCTGCATGAGACGTAATTTTAGGAAAACAAATAATGGTGAATGCTAAAAATAATAATTAAAAATAAAAATAATGCTAAAACAAATAATAATGAATAATAATGAAAACATTTATACAAGTTATTGCTCAGAAGAAAAAAAATCCTAGAATTCAAGCCAGACTTTCATGCTAAAACCGAGGGGTAATTGTGGTGTAATATCTAATCTGAACATATTTGACACGCTTTTGTTATAACGAAGAGATTGGTTTGTACGATCAGTTGCACTTAGACTAATATTGCTGCATACATGATAGTAGCGGAAGTTTAGATTTATGAGTAACTTGTGCTGGTGACAGTGGATGAGATCCAGGTGGCGTGCTACAAGATCCTCGCCGCCCTCTACCAGCTGGGAACTGACCTCACTCTAGATGGCGGCAAGACTTTCATGAAGAAGGAGTTGGACCGCCACCGACCCTCCATCGGCAACTGTTTGGGAGCCTTCGCCGCTACCTTTCCCGTGGCGTACCTGGAGCCCATGATGAACAAGAACAATCCCTGGAGCATTCATAACCGCATCGCTGACCAGTCCCTGGAAGCCCAAGGTCAGTCCATACCTACATCATCATCATCCCCGTCAGCCACTCCTTCACCAACACTTTCCCCCTAGCATACACTCTTTACTTTGTCTGTCTACTACATATATTTGACCACTTTTCTCAGCCTGCTTTACCACTTTGACCTAGTCTATGTTGCCAGTTTACCTAGTCTACGTTAGCAGTTTAACTAGTCTACTTTACCAGTTTAAGTAGTCTACTTTACCAGTTTAACTTGTCTACTTTACCAGGTTTAACAAGTCTACTTTACCAGGTTTAACTAGTCTACTTTACCAGTTTAACTAGTCTACTTTACCAGTTTAACTAGTCTACTTTACCAGTTTAACTAGTCTACTTTACCAGTTTAACTAGTCTACTTTACCAGTTTAACTAGTCTACTTTACCAGTTTAACTAGTCTACTTTACCAGGTTTAACTAGTCTACTTTACCAGGTTTAACTAGTCTACTTTACCAGGTTTAACTAGTCTACTTTACCAGGTTTAACTAGTCTACTTTACAAGTTTAACTAGTCTACTTCAGTTTTCTATAAGGTACAAATACTTATTCAAGTTCAACAGTTTTTTACTTAATCATTACTGCTTACCTACTACTGTGAGATTTTTTTTCTTTGACAATTATCAAAAGAATTAATTCCTGTTAATGTTACGTTAATGGTAACTACCTGGCAAGAGAGGCAGACCTTAAACAGCAAGCGCTGCCAGTGGCAGATATTTAATCTTAAAGCCTAAGATCATAGGACCGCGGGAGCAAACCGCCAGATGAAACCACTCAGGTAACACCTGTCACTTAGGTCGCTGGCTCCTCCTAGTTGACAACTAATAAAGGGTAACCGACGGATTCTCACTTCTTATTTATAGAAGTGTGGTGCTGTGCAATGGACTCGAGCTTCAGATACAGACTTGATATGAACATAAGCAGGCAAAGCGTTGCAGAACATGAAATGTGGGGCAGTAATATTGGAAGGTTTAACGTAAACGACCGTTTTCTATAACAAGCAATTTATTCACGAAACAAGCTAAAACTACTACACAGAGACTTTACGTTACTTTACTGTCACTCCAGTGGCACATTAAAGTGACAGCTAATCAACAGCCTGATGGACCCACGGTATCCTTATCCCGTCGTCGCTGACTGACTAATGACACTAACTGAACACAGTGGTGCCCACTGGTGACGCAAGCTTGCAATCAATATTGTCACGGCTTCCCGGTGATCAAATACTATAATCACAAAACTTGATTGGCGCTCGCTGCTCTCAACAAGGTACCAAGCAACAAGGCGGTTAATCCAAGAATGATAACCCCTATAAAAATCATACGTTAACACTTGTCTCTCAGGACAATCAACAACAAAAGTTACTCTAATTGAATTTAAACAATTACGTTAACACACACGTGTCTCAACGACACTTAAATGGCAGCAATAACTCGTAAATCAATTAATTACATCAACTTGAAAGTCAAGCATTCGGTGAGTAATTCCCAATTAATTACTGAATACAACAGCCTATTATTTCAGACGAGTATTGACAAAACCTACTGTCTCTCAACTGACAGTTCACTTCCGGTCTTACGACAAGATTACCTTAACGAGGGTAGACTACTGTACCACACACAATGTTCCAATACTCCGTGTAAACAACAACATCAACACCTGGTGAATTCACTAAATGGCGGTTACTAATTCTCTTTAATTAGCTACGAGTGCTTAATCTCTCTGTCCGCAGTCCAACGAATTACAGCAGCTTAATTACAGTGCAATTGACTCCCATCATAACAGACCGTTAACCCCTTACGTTAATCAATCAATTAACGACAGCTCGTTAAATCGTTAACATACGTTAGTCTTCACTTGACAATTTCTCCACTGCGTGAACTTCACTGTGACTGTTGCCTTTACACATTTCTACGTTAATCACAACAATGTTCAACGAAACAAAGTGACCGTGTTAAGTAAATCGTGACCCCCGGTGACGTTAAATGACTTTAATTCTCACGGAATCCTTCACAGTACACAACGCCTTCCACCAAGGACAAACTTGTCTACGGTTTACACACAGTACAACACAGTACATCCTTGCCACTCACGGCAAAACATGTAAATGACTTCCCCCAGTAAATTATCTACCAATAATTCACACTTTACCACAACACAACAGTAAAATAAGCGCTAGCCAATATAATAATGGGAATTATTTATAACCAAGGGAAACCTTCCTGTTACCACTTTCACTGCTGAAAAAGGGAATCAAATTACAGCAAATTACATACACGGCACATAGAGAAAATAGACGCAAATAACTCACTTTATTCCACCTCTGAATGTGTCTCTCGGTGTCGTCACACACGTCAAACCCACAGTTGGGCTCAACCCCAACTTGGTGACGGTAAACAGGGTAAACTCACACGTCTCCTATTCCCATTCATCTCACCAGGTGGTCTACTTGGGACAGAGGACAGACGGAACACTGGGGGCGACCCCAGCTTCAGAGTTTTATTACCCAAAACGGAAACAGTGTACTTACATCAATCTCGCGGGCCCGCCACACGCACTCACTCACACGTCATCAATCTCGCGGGCCCGCCACACGCACTCACTCACACGTCATCAATCTCGCGGGCCCGCCACACACACTCACACACATACACGTCATCAATCTCGCGGGCCCGCCACACACACACACTCACATACACGTCATCAATCTCGCGGGCCTGCCACACACACTCACTCACATACACGTCATCAATCTCGCGGGTCCGCCACACACACACACTCACATACACGTCATCAATCTCGCGGGTCCGCCACACACACACACTCACATACACGTCATCAATCTCGCGGGCTCGCTACACACACTCACACACATACACGTCATCAATCTCGCGGGTCCGCCACACACACTCACATACATACACGTCATCAATCTCGCGGGCCCGCCACACACACTCACTCACATACACGTCATCAATCTCGCGGGCCCGCCACACACACTCACACACATACACGTCATCAATCTCGCGGGCCCGCCACACACACACTCACATACATACACGTCATCAATCTCGCGGGTCCGCCACACACACTCTCATACATACACGTCATCAATCTCGCGGGTCCGCCACACACACACACTCACATACACGTCATCAATCTCGCGGGCCCGCTACACACACTCACACACATACACGTCATCAATCTCGCGGGTCCGCCACACACACTCACACACATACACGTCATCAATCTCGCGGGCCCGCCACACACACTCACTCACATACACGTCATCAATCTCGCGGGCCCGCCACACACACTCACACACATACACGTCATCAATCTCGCGGGCCCGCCACACACACACTCACATACATACACGTCATCAATCTCGCGGGTCCGCCACACACACTCACATACATACACGTCATCAATCTCGCGGGTCCGCCACACACACACACTCACATACACGTCATCAATCTCGCGGGCCCGCTACACACACTCACACACATACACGTCATCAATCTCGCGGGTCCGCCACACACACTCACACACATACACGTCATCAATCTCGCGGGCCCGCCACACACACTCACATACATACACGTCATCAATCTCGCGGGCCCGCCACACACACTCACATACATACACGTCATCAATCTCGCGGGCCCGCCACACACACTCACATACATACACGTCATCAATCTCGCGGGCCCGCCACACACACTCACACACATACACGTCATCCACACTCCCAGTGCTGCTGCTGGATGATGACGTAGGCGTCCTCACTTCCTACACGTGGTCAGTTGGAGCACGAGGTCCTAGACCACAGCGTTAGCTCCACACACAGAGAGACCAGGTGGGCGAACACGCCGGCTTAGGCAGACCAGGGTGCGAGCTCAACAGATTACACAGCGGGGATGCAGTACCACACCCATCCACTTGACACGGTACCCCAGGATACGACGGTACACAGTGTTACACGGTACACGAGACACGAGACGGAGTCCTTCACTGTTCCTTTCTAATTCCTCGGAATTAGGAATTTTAAGGTTTCTCTCATAACACTGAAACCTTCTCTAGCACGTCTCACTGCAGTACCTTCAAGCCCAGATATGACAGACGGCAGATGTCACTAACCTAGGCCGATAATTAACAGCCTCACTCAGTCCAGTTGCTCTGAGATGGCGTCTCACAATCACGCGGCTTAGATGACAAAAGTTCACACTGGTTCGGTACATGCACCTTTCCGATCTACCGGATTCTTACGGACGGCACACGGAAAGATAGCAAGATGATAGGCGTGACTTAAGTAACGTTGCAGGTGGTATTTCCCGATGCCTGGCCTAGCACGGAAAAGTACTTCCTCCCATAGCAACGTTCTCGGTAAAAATATTTTTTTCCCGCCAAGACGGCCCCGGAGATACCATGCGGCACCCCTCAGCGTCTTGACCAATCACGGTTCAGCATTCCTGAGGCCCAGGAGCCTTGGCCAATGGCACACCTGCCTCACAACGCTACCCCCCTCTCTCAGAAGATGGACACTTGATAGGGGGGGGGGGTCTACAGCCGTTAACCCCCATATCTCCCTCTCTACACTTGACTTGTACAAAAATTTCCCTGAAATCAACTCCCTCTTGTAATTTCCTTCACAGACCTGATACAGCGATCAGAGTGACATCAATGGCTAGCAAATGTCATGGGCTGTCCAACGACACCCAACACGACTGTGGAAAAGTTATATTCAGAAAGTTGAATCACGGTGCACATCACTGGTGCACTATGCAATTTCGTACTTCATTCAGTGCACGAGAGAGCAGGAAAAATATGTCTCCTGACAACTAAAAGTGAGCACTTTACTCGCTCATTCACTTAATGTTATCAGCTCACACAGATGTTGCAACCCTGCACTAGATAACATAGTTATCATACCAGCCAGTTATCTTTTCTTAGCACCGTAAATAACAACATTGTTTTATCTAATGAGAAACATTGGAAGCTAAGAAACATCTCTAAGGTATAGAGACTTGTGCCCAGGAAACGTCAGAATCACAATGTATTAAATTCGACGAAAACAACAATTTCTGTGATTTTGGAGTTTACACATCCCTTTACGCTTCCGTAAAGGGGTGTGTCGGTGGGTGGATAAGTTACACTTCACCAGATGATATAAATACCAGACTTCACTAGTGTATAGAGTCACTAAACATCATGAATTAATGTGGTTATTACAGTTCACCAGATTATATAGTTAATGCACTCAGTCATAAAGCTTTACCTAGTCAGCCACAGTATGTTGAGGTATGGCTCAGAGGGTGGGCAGGGAGGCACCCCACATTGCTTAGTAGCGGAGTACTAAGCCTGGCTCTCACTAGTTACACTTCACCAGTTTACACAGTCATAACACTTCACCAGTTTACACAGTGATAACACTTCACCAGTTTACACAGTGATAACACTTCACCAGTTTACACAGTGATAACACTTCACCAGTTTACACAGTAACAACACTTCAGCAGTTTACAGTGATAAAACTTCAGCAGTTTGCACGGTGATAACACTTCACAAGTTTACACAGTGATAACACTTCACCAGTTTACACAGTGATAACACTTCAGCAGTTTACATGGTGACAACACTTCAGCAGTTTACATGGTGACAACACTTCAGCAGTTTACATGGTGACAACACTTCAGCAGTTTACAGTGATAACACTTCACCAGTTTACAGTGATAACACTTCACCAGTTTACACGGTGATAACACTTCACAAGTTTACACAGTGATAACACTTCACCAGTTTACACGGTGATAACACTTCACAAGTTTACACAGTGATAACACTTCAGCAGTTTACACGGTGATAACACTTCACCAGTTTACATGATGATAACACTTCACCAGTTTACACAGTGATAACACTTCACCAGTTTACACGGTGATAACACTTCACCAGTTTACACGGTGATAACACTTCACCAGTTTACACGGTGATAACACTTCACCAGTTTACACAGTCATAACACTTCAGCAGTTTACACGGTGATAACACTTCACCAGTTTACACGGTGATAACACTTCACCAGTTTACACGGTGATAACACTTCACAAGTTTACACAGTCATAACACTTCACCAGTTTACACGGTCATAACACTTCAACAGTTTACACGGTGATAACACTTCAACAGTTTACATACTACTATGCTATACAAGCAGTCATTTGATTATCTCAGTTTTGTGCTAGACATTGCAGAAAAAGAATTTATTTATGTAGTGTAACAAAGTTAGTTTTTCAGGTAGAGCGAAGTTTATGGCTGAGGTCAATAGATCTAAAAGAGTATATATGTACTCCTCCAACTTCGGAAATAACTTTGCAAGCAGCTGTGGAAAGTCAAGCAATTTGTTAATAAAGCATGAGTGTAGAAACAGGACTAATTACGTCTTGTTATTTGAATTGTTGATAATACGACTTTGTGAAGCTGTCAAAGAGCCGAGTATAAGTGCTGTAATGTTGCTGTTGTGGTGTTTTCTTACTTCTAAGAAGCATTTTGTCCAACTTTTACCGACCATTCTGGTTTCTTCTTCCTTACTTTTGAACAGAAATCATCGTTAAGATGGAGACGGCAATGCCCACGCTGGAAACCGTCTTAAAGCAGGTAGAAAAGTTTGTGGAAGAAGAGACAAAGCACGTTGACCAGCCTCAAAACATTGACGTGCTGCTGCCTATGTTGTGCTCCTACCTCCCCTTCTGGTGGAACCAAGGCCCAGACAACGTCAATCCTTCCGAGGGGTGAGTCTTATGTACACCTCTTCACTTGCTCGTGACAAGGAAAGGAACGATATTGATGTCTGTACACTACACATGTTCAGTTACAAATGTAAGGAAAAAAGCTACAAAAAGAGACGATGAGTCACAATAACGGGGCTGAAGATATGATGACCAAACCACACACCAGAAGATAAGAGGAAGACGTTTCGAATCGTCCTGGACCATTATCAAGTCAACTGTGACAATCGACTTGATAATGGTCCAGGATGAACCGAAACGTCGTCGTCTCTTCATCGTCTGGTGTGTGGTTTGGTCATGAGGTTATTGTTGAATAAAGAAATCTGGGAAATGTGATGCCAACAGCCACATGAGTCTGCATTGTTAATGGCGCTTCTGCTGGTTGCAGGAATCCTGTTTGCTTGTAGCCTAACTTATCATTTATCCCTGTTTATAACTGGACTAACCTGTGTGATTTACGCTGTTTGTCAGGAACCACGTGTCGATGGTGACGTGCGAGCACATGAACCAGCTGCTGAGGCTGGTGCTGAGACTCATCATGTACAACGTGGGTGTGGAGAACGCTCCCTGGATGACGCGCATCGCCGGCTACACCCAGCAGATCATCATTAACTCGAGCGAGGAGCTGCTGCGGGACTCCTACCTGCCCCTGGCTGACCGCGTCCACAAGCGCACCGAGCACATGTTCAACAAGGAGGAGAACCTCAGAAGCTTCCTCAAGTCCACCACCGAGGATACTAGCCAAGTGAGTTCTCGCACTTTATACCATCTTCACCTCCACATAAAATCTATTAAACAAAATCACATGCAAACGCACGAACATGCAAAACACACTTTTACATGTACATAAAGGCACACAAAATGATTTAGTGACAATTTTAAACATATATAAAATAAATAACTTGTTTCTCCAGTCGTGTGCACATTGCACAAGAAAACGTCATGCATGAAATACATTTAAAGGTCTCAAAGATATCTCGTTCCTGTTCAAGACTGTGATCATAATGAGGACTGTAGTGGTTAATGGAAAAGCCTATTTTCTTATTAGGAATGCAAACAAAAACACGAATTTGGCATAAATCAGTGGGCAACTACACAAATTTATGTAGGTAAAATTGTTGAATTATTCTCTTTTATAAATTTTTCTAAATAAATTTTTAAAATTTTTAAACTTATAAAATTTTTCTTATTAACAAATTAAATAATTTTCTCGTTAAAATGTGCACAATTCCTTAGTATGTACGTTTGATAATATTCTTTAGATTAGGAACATTTATGGCTTGGGATTGAGTTAAACATTTTTCTGAGATTTCCCCGTCAATAACTCCGTGATGTGGCACGGTGGCAGGATCAAGTTGGAGACTCCGCCTTACTCAATGACCCATGTGGTTATCTTTAGACGATATCGGGGCTTAGCGTCCCCGCGACCTGGTCCTCGACCAGGCCTCTCTTTTTTGTTACACACCCCCAGGAAGCAGCACGTAACAGCTGTCTAACTCCCAGGTACCTAGTTACTGCTAGGTGAAATGGGGCATCAGGGGTGAAAGAAACTCTGCCCATTTGTTTCCGCCTCCACCGGAGATCGAACCCGAAACCTCAGGACTACAAATCTGAAGTGCTGTTCACTCAGTTGTCAGGCCTTCATGTGAAACACACCACGCTCCATGACCCACGTGGGGCACCCTGAACTATGACCAGTTGGGCATTAGTTTGCGTCGCTTGTTTCGGTCCTGTAACCGCAGTGGACGAAATTTCATTGTGAGAGATAAAGCATTTAGGTCTCCTGTTTCTTGTTCTCTGTCAATCTGCCTCTTGCGTTTTGGGTTCCTTACATCATTGTGCTTTCCCTGCTGTTGTGTATGGCTGTATGGGCAGCTCATGCCCGTGTCACCTCTTGCATGGCTTAATCTTCATCAGTCAATCTGTTTACAGTTGGGTCTCTGGGCTACTGTACCTGTCTCGGTAACTGGCTGTTCTGGGGCTATGGGCCCGAATGTTCCCGGGCATGGGACTTGCCGGGCTGTGGGCCTGGGATTTGCTGGGCTGTGGGCCAGGGATTTGCCAGGCTTTGGGCCTGGGACTTTCCAGACTGTGGGCCGGGACTTGCTGGACTGTGGGCCTGGGATTTGCCGGGCTGTGGGCCTGGGACTTGCCAAGCTGTGGGCCTGAGACTTATCGGGCTGTGGGCCTGGGACTTGCCGGCTGTTCCAATATGCACGTGAGTTGTGTGCCATTGTGTACCCAAGTTAGCACTGCATATACCAGCAGCTAACACACACTGCTTGGATCGACTGCGGCTACTTAGTCTTCTTGCAGGACCAAGCTAAGGATTCGTAGACAGCCCAAGGTAAACTGCCCTCCTCAGGTCAATCGCCTCCATATGTCACCTCTGTGGACATAAAAACGTCATTAGCCAGATGGACAGTACACTGGGTAACCATGGAATAACACTCGTTCACCCGAGACATGATATTGTGACTTGTAGCCACGACCTAGATGGCGCTGATCTTGATATGCGACCCACCAGAGGGTGGGAGGCGTATGCCCCTCTTCTGACTGGGGCAGGAAATATATATACCCCTCTTCTGACTCGGTCAGGAAATTGGAGCCGTCCATTCATACCAGGCCACCACCAACAGATGGAGTTGTCTACGTAGCCCACAATATTAAGGGAGGGAATGCAGACCCATAGATTTCGCCGAAATCGCCACTCCACACTCCGACGATGGTGTCGATACTGTAACAGCCTTCAAGAAAACTGCTACCAAAATATACTTATAAATAAATAAATCTACAAAATTAACAGAGGAATTCTTGAAATTTGCAACTTCCAGAACACGAAGTCATAGATTCAACCTAAGGAAACAAAAGGGCTGAATCAAATCTAGAAAATTCTCTTTGTAAACAGAGAGATAGACAATTGGAAGTTGAGTGGGAAGATGGTGGAGTCCAAACCCGACAGTCTTGAACAATTTGTTGGATTCCTTAATGACAATAAGTCATTCACCGATGCTTTAATGTTTGAAATCTCTTTGTATATTATGCCTCAATGCAAATGTTATTTCTTTCAGGTGGAAGGTCAGCTGCAGGAGGAGTGGCAGCTGCTGACACGAGACATCTACGCCTTCTATCCGCTACTCATCAAATACGTGGATCAGCAGCGAAACTACTGGCTCAAGAATGACGTGCCGGAAGCTGAGGACGTGTACAATCGTGTAGCTCAGATCTTCCACATATGGTCCAACTCCCAGGTGATAATCCACTCTTGTACAGTATATCTGACAGCAGAGCCAGTCTTTCTACACCATTCCTCTATTACAGCAGTGACAAGTGTCCCTGGAGTGCACAACACATGAAACTATTTATAATTTAGTGAGCATTATTGTGTAGTTTTATATCTTAGAGTGCAGCGATAACAAGGCCTGGCTGTCCTGAAAGATGATGTTTATGTCGCCAAAGAGTGAGACTATATGAAGTGTTGTCTTAAACCTTTGCTCATAAAAGGATAGGGATTGTGAACAGTCTTGGAAAGCAGCATTTTCAGCGTTAGTTTCCTTGCATGAGGAAACTTCCTGAATTTCACTCTGTAAAATATGTATTTGTAATTTGATACTAATTAATCAAATATATATATATATATATATATATATATATATATATATATATATATATATAACTGAAAACTCACACCCCAGAAGTGACTCGAACCCATACTGCCAGGAGCAACGCAACTGGTATGTACAGGGACGCCTTAATCCGCTTGACCATCACGACCGGACATAAGGAAGTGATAGCCGAAGCTATTTGAACCACTTCCCCGCCGGCACTCGGATAGTAATCTTGGGCATAGCATTTTATCAAATCACCTCATTCTTTGGGGCACACGTGAGGAACACAAATTTGTGTTCCTCACTGGTACATACCAGTTGCGTTGCTCCTGGCAGTATGTGTTCGAGTCACTTCTGGGGTGTGAGTTTTCAGTTGTATATAGTCCTGGGGACCATTCAGGCTTGTTTGCATATATATATATATATATATATATATATATATATATATATATATATATATATATATATATATATATATATATATATATATATATATATATATATATATATATATATATATATATATATATATATATAATTTCTGCCAGATGTAATAACTCATTTCAATATTAATATTAGCTTTCAAGTGTATATATAATGATGGATGTAGATATGTGTGTTGTTAGTGAAGTATGTGTATTATGAGGTACATACCTTGCCATCCTCAGTACTTCCGGCGGGAGGAGACCAACTTTATCAGCCAGAACGAGATTGACAACATGACGCTCATCATGCCCACGGCCTCCAGCCGTAGTCGCGCCTCCGCCGCCCCGGAGTCTGGCTCAGGGGGCAAAGTGAAGGTAGGTGCCCCAGACACATCTCTCTTTCTCTCTCTTCCCCGCTCCTCTTACTAATAACTTGTGTTCTAACTCATTTTTACTTCTTTTTCACAGCCACGTCTTCCTTTCTTCCTTCATGCCCGTGCCACCTCTTGGATGGCTTAATTTTCATCAATCAATCAGTACCTGAATATTATTAGCAAATATTAATGATTGAGTGATTAATGGAAATTAAACCACCCAAGAAGTGGCACGGGCCACTTCTTGGGTGGCCGTTAAGTGGCAATTAATGAATTACCGTTAAGTGGTAGATTTTGTTTTTTGAGTGAATGTATACTGTGTGGTGAGGTCGCATTGACATTGTCAGGCTGCTGTTGCTGGGGAGGACACTGCTTGACAGTATTTTTGGGGGGTGTCCAGCTGCTGGACACCTTCATTCATGACCAAAAGAGTGGCAGTGTTGATGGCTTCAGGCTGGTTACTGCAAGATTCAGGTACTCTTAAAGCTCTTCTAAGATCGCTGGTTGCTTTACATTCCAGGAGATAGTGAAGTAGTGGCTTCTGTGTGATTGTTTGGCAGAAGATGCACTCTCTCTGACGGGGTTCACCAATCTCCCAGTTGCATCTGTAACCTAGACGTAGTCTATATAACCGAACTGCTATTTCTCTGTGGATTCCTTTTGTGATATTTAACCTGTCTAACTTGGTGGCCTGAAGATACCATTTGCAGAGCGCGAACCTTCTGCTACTCTCTGGTCTAGATGAGCTTTGTTGAGATGTGTGAGCTTTTTGGTGATGTTTTTTTGTACTCTAGGCTGGGTTGGATTCTTTTGTGGGTCACTGGATGACGATTTGCTATTTTAGAAGTTTAATTGGTTTTCTCATTTAATGGGAGTCCAACATGGGATGAGATCAAGTATAGGGTGATGATGAATCTTTTGCCTTTAGCTACTGCTCCAAGATACAAAATGGTGGTAATTATTTTCCACTTTGTCTTTCCACTGCTTTTTTCCTAATATTTGAAGTGCAGCTTTTGAGTCTGTGTGTATGATTGCATTTTGAGTGTTTTGTGCTGTCCGTGCAAAGAGCAGCACCAGCTCTTTTATATTTTGCGTCAACCAAACCATCTGTGAAGATGTGGATGGCTCCTGCTACTGCTATGCTGCCCATTTGCTTTTCTATGATGCACTTTAGGATTTTTGGATCATAGACAGCCTTTTTCATCGGAAGACCTTTTATTACTATTTTGAAGGTTGGCTCCTCCCATGGTGCTGAACAAGTGTAGTTTGAGTGGGGATAATCACTTCTATCCAGAATCAAGCTTTATAATTGTAGTATGTTTGGGACTTTTCCCGCTCTGGCAGCCCAAAAGTTTCCGTTGTTTTGACCAAGTCCAACCACAAAGGCCTGTCGTACTGGACCTGGATCAGGGGGAAACAGTTATCTTACTGATAAATCTTACCTGTTCTTTGAGATATTCTTTCTTGAAGAGAGGGCAAACCCGTTTCCAGTCTTAGAGTTTTGGAGGAAGCTCCACATAAGGGTTCCCAGGGGCAGCTCTCATAGCATTATTTTGGGCTACTTCAAGCTTTTCCATTGATGTTGTGACAGGCTTGTGAGTGCAAGTGCGACATAGTCGATCACTGATATGACTGCCTGTACATAATATGTGCGAAGGACTTGCAGATTGGCTCCTCCAGAGAAGGAGGTTAGTGATCTGAGGATTGCCGTCCTGGTCACAGCTCTCTCTCTCAAATAAGTGACCTCAGCATTTAAATGTATGTGTGTCCATGCTTATTACTAGATACTGATAAGTGTCAGTATCACTTATACTTGTCAGTATACAAGTGTCCTACTCAATTGGTTGACCTCTTTAAGTTGTCAGTTGGTTGGTGGGCGTCACTATTTTTATGGGCATTGCTTTTGTCTATGTGGGGGTTGAGTTTGATACCAATCTGCCTTGCCTCTTCACTGATGCATTTGGCATCAAGGTGCACCGCATTCCTTACTTTTGTGATGATGACAAAGTCGTTTGCATAGTTTAGCAGCCTGCAGTGTCGTAAGAGTTTCTGCTTCATTATTTTTTCCATTAAACAGTTGAAGAGAAGGGGGCTGAGAATACCTCCTTGCAGTGTACCATTTTCATGTCTTTTGTATTCAGAGACTGTGCTATAAAGTACTCTACTTCATTGTACTCTTAGTACTCTGTACTACTATATAAATAGTACTCTTGCTTCTCTGTTTATGAGACAGTTTTTGGTCAATTAGAGCAGGTTTCGTTTGACCTCTTTGTCGAGGAGGCAGCAGAAAATAGCTGGGACGATGGCCAGTTCAAAGGCTTTCACGAGGTCCAGGAATATCAGTATTCCTGGTCTGTCATTTAGGTGGGCTAACAGAGTGGTAATACATTCCACTGTGCCAACCCCTGTTCTATAGGCATACATGTCCTGGTGCAGTTTAGGCATTTTCCACTCAAGTCTGTTGAGTGCCATTCTATCAGCCATCTTGGCTGCTCACCTTTGGAATGAGATGGGCCTTGGATTAGCTGGAAATTTGGTTTGGGGACTAGTACTCTGCTCTATTCCAAACTGTAGGTCTAGTGTGAGACGTCCAGGCTAAATTAATTAACCTTAGGTATGCAGCGTCACCTTTTGGGCCGAGGTTTCTATTCATTTTACAGGTTAGATTCAGGTACGTAGAACAGCGGAATATATAACCGGGGGTGAGGGGAAGCGCCTCACGATGGGGTAATAGGCACACTGTAGCTTACCAGTCTCCTATCCCTCGGCCAATCATTGGTGGTCCCTGACATCCCAACTTACTTTGATTGACCCAGGACACCACGACCTGTCTTAATTATTCCCCAACACCCTAGCCCTCCGTGACTGGTTCCCAATGCTCTGCGGCCTACTTTGTCTAGTCTCCAGCCCCTAGTCTGCCTTAACAGTCTCCAGCCCCTAGTCTGCCTTAACAGTCTCCAGCCCCTAGTCTGCCTTAACAGTCTCCAGCCCCTAGTCTGCCTTAACAGTCTCCATCTCCTAGTCGATCTTTACAGGTCCCTTTACATCATATTCTATTGTTAAACAAGCCCCTGACACTGCCATCTGCCTGCATCAGCCCTTGACGACTCTTGACTGGCCCGTAACTTCCCTGGCAGTCCACACGTCCCAGTGTGTCTTCCTGACAACAGAGAGGATTCTATCGTTACGTAAACTTCCTACTTGACAATATAAACTTTCATACTTGACAGAATATAAGCTTTCATACCTGGCTAAATATAAGCTATCATTCATGACAGAACATAAGCTTCCATACTTGACACAATAAAAGCTTTCATACTTGTCAGAATATAAGTTTTCATACCTGACAGAATATAAGCTTTAGTATTTGACAGAATATAAGCTTTAGTATTTGACAGAATATAAGCTTTCATACTTGACAGAATATAAGCTTTATTATTTGACACAATATAAGCTTTAGTATTTGACACAATATAAGCTTTCATACTTGACAGAATATAGGCTTTCATACTTGACAGATATAAACTTTCATACTTGACAGAATATAAGCTTTCATACATGACAGAATATAAGCTTCCATACTTAACAGAATATACGCTTTCATACTTGACAGAATATAAGCTTTCATACTTGACAAAATATAAGCTTTCATACTTGACAGAATTTAAGCTTTCATACTTACGGAATATAAGCTTTCATACTTGACAGAATATAAGCATTCATAATTTATGGAATATAAGCTTTCATACTTGACAGAATATAAGCTTTCATACTTGACAGAATATAAACTTTCATACTTGACAGAATATAAGATAGCATATTTGACAGAATATAAGCTTTCGTACTTGACAGAATACAAGCTTTCATACTTGACAGAATATAAACTTTCATATATGACAGAATATAAACTTTCATATATGACAGAATATAAGCTTTACTACTTGACAGAATATAAGCTTTCATTCTTGACAGAATATAAGCTTTCATATATGACAGAATATAAACTTTCATACGTGACAGAATATAAACTTTCATACCTGACAGAATAAAAACTTTCATTGTTGAGAGAAATATAAGCTTTCATACTTGACAGAATATAAGCTCTCATACTTACAGAATATAAGCTTTCATACTTTATGGAATATAAGCTTTCATACTTTATGGAATATAAGCTTTCATACTTTATGGAATATAAGCTTTCATACTTGACAGAATATAAGCTTTCATACTTGACTGAATATAAGCTTTTGTACATGACAGAATAGAAGCTTTCATATCTGACAGAATATAAGGTTTCATACTTGACAGAATATAATCTTTAATACTTGCCAGAATATAAGTTTTCATACTTGACTGAAAATAAACTTTCATACTAGACAGAATATAAGCTTAAGTACATGACAGAATATAAGCTTTAGTACTTGACAGAATTTAAGCTTTCATACTTAACAGAATATATGCTTTCATACTTGACAGAATATAAACTTCATGCTAGACAGAATATAAGCTTTCGTACTTTACAGAATATAAGCTTTCATGCTTGACAAAATATAAGCTTTCATACTTGACAGAATATAAGCTTTCATACTTGACAGGACACAAGCTTTCATACTTGACAGAATATAAGCTTTAGTACTTGACAGAATATAAGCTTTCACCTTGACAGAATATATGCTTTCATACTTGACAGAATATAAGCTTTCATACTTGACAGAATATAAGCTTTCATACTTGACAGAATATAAGCTTTCATACTTGAGAGAATATAAGCTTTAGTACTTGACAGAAAATAAACTTTCATAATTGACAAAATATAAGCTTTTGTAGTTGACAGAATATAAGCTTTCATACCTGACAGAATATAAACTTTCATATTTGACAGAATATAAGTTTCATACCTACGGAACATAAACTTTCATACTTGACAGAAGATAAGCTTTCATACTTTATGGAATATAAACTTTCATACTTTATGGAATATAAGCTTTCATACTTGACAGA